TCCCAGATTACACAACTCACAGCACAGGCATTACATATCAAATGGGACTTACATATACCATATTGGACTCAGTCATCAGGCAAAGGAGAAAAAGCCAATCATCTCATAAAAACACACCTCACCAGGTTGTCCATGGAACTTCACCTCCCTTGTACCCAATTTCTCCCTCTAGCACTCACTGACTTGTGAGCTGCCCCCAGCAAACCCACTGGCCTCAGCCCCTTCAAACTTACTTATGGTAGACCCTTCACTCTCACACCTCTCCGTTCCAGCTCATTGCCTTTAGGCCAGTATCTCCCTACTCTTTCTCTCATTAGGGATCTTCTTTGGGAACTGGCCAACCTTCTATTACCTCATCCTTTCCCCAACACCTCCTCAGACTTTAAACTGAGCCTGAGACAGCAAGTGTATATTAAAACCCGAATCCAAAAGCCCCTCTCACCATGCAGGGAAGGGCCTTATACAGCACTTCTCACCACCCCCACAGCAGCAAAAGTACTAGGAAAGGCCGGTTGGTATCACTTATCCTTGGTAAAACTAGCACCTGAGACTTTACCCAAAGAATGTGTTAACACTAAGCTAGAGGGGTCCCTCTGCTCAACCCCCAATCCAACATCTCCTTACACTTCGTCCATTTTAGGAGCCACAAAATTGAAAATCTCCAGAACCTCCACTCTTCCCCCAATCCCAGAAGAAGGATGATCTTCCCCCTGGCAATCATCCTCTCACTTTTGCAGGCCCTCCTAACGTCCTTCACACAGGAGCTGCTCCAAGACTGGTCCTGACCTGCCACCTCCAGTGTTGAAGACATCCTTGAGTGGGTAGCTGAATTAGCCTAGCAGGGTGCCCTCTGTGATTACACCCCCGATGAGGTTACCCTTTACCTCTTTTTTCTACTATGCACCCTCTCAACCTCTCAGCCCCTGAACACTTGCCTTTTCTCTTCCTCTTGCTTCTTTTCCTAACAGAGACATATGCCACGCCTTGTTCACAATGTATAACCAAGGCCTTGGTGGGTGGAAGGACACTTTCCAACCTCCTGCGTCTGCTACCCAGAATCTTCAGGGGAACCCTACAGGACACAGTCACATCCCTGACATATATTCCCACAACATGCTATGACCAGACAACTGCCACATCATGTTCTTACAGGGGTAAAAACTACTGGGTAGCCCTTTCCAAAGGGGATTCTGCTGGAGTCCAGTGCCCCCCTCCTCAATAAAAAACATTTCTGCTTCACCAAGACCACTCATCTAGGCTATAGTGATAGGGGAGGACTTCAGGGCAAAGCATGTCAGACCCCTGACCATGATGGGTCTTATCCTTCTTCTTGTTTCCTGCTGCTTTCACTGTTTCTCTAGTTTCTTACAGGAACATGTGCAGGCTTTCACCAATCATGGGGGTAGGATGTCAGCCCCTCAGAATCAGCGACCCTTCCCCAGAAGAATACAGCCTCCCCACATGAAACCAATACCCCACCACCTAATTGTTTTACCTGCCAACATAAATCTTTTATTTTTTTCATATCTTCGCCCATCTCCAGCAGGAAGTAGCTTCAGAAGAAATGAGACCTTTACCTCTTTTCCCTTCTCCCTATACTTAAAAGGCCGGAATGATGGGTCTTGGACATGACTGGCACCATTTTACACACAATAAGAACAAAATAGCTGCCAGCCTTTTCCTTATGAGAAACCTTGTGGTTTCTGAGAAATAGAAACTCCTCTACTTCTGCATGGGCGCAACCTTCCACCTGATTGCATCTGCCAGCCTTATCTTCCACACCAGCACCAAACCCCCTCCCTGATTACATTAGCCTTCCCTACAGTCTATATAAGCTCCCCCACCCCCAGGCCTGGTGCTGCCCTCCATTTTGAGTGCAGCCTGGCAGACTTTTTTTCCTTTAATAAAGCTTGATTGGTACCCAGCATTTCAGTTCACTTTGTTTCATATTCTAATTGCATCTAATCAGGTGACACGCATTTTAATATGTCTAGTTGCTGGTGTTTTTCTTATTGATCATTTGGTTAAGATGGTGACTTTCGGGCTTCTCTGAAGGGAAAATACTCTTGTCCTTTTGTAATAAATGAGTATGTTAGGTGAACACGAAATAGATCCTGAAAGAGTGTTCATTAACCTTTTCCAGGAAGAAACAAGGAGCTGTGTTTCTGATCCCCTTCTCTGCACTGCTCCCAAGGGAAAAAGCCCCTGGAAGTGCTTGCATGTCCATACAAAACTGCTACTTTTTCCTGTGATATAGAGAGTCTCCTGTATGTTTTATCCTTTCTCCTCCCAGAGTTTGTGACTTAAGAGTCAAACCATGGGAACCTTAGATTTAGGGAAGCTATATGTAAGGTTTAAACCTTCTTCTCCACAGGGAGAAGATGCATGTTGGGGATTCCTTTCCAGACAGTATGATGCAGTTCTTGGGACAGGGTCCATGCCTGAGTGTGCCTCAGCTTTTTCTACCCATTTGATGTGAATGTTTTCTCAGTTGCCCAGTGGGTAGGAGTTTCTCAACTGGTTTCTGACTTTCTCTCAGAGAGAATTGATCTATGAGTAGATGTTCATTCAATGGGTCTGTGGGAAGTGGAGCGAGAGTCAGGAGCTCCATGTTCCTGATGTCCTCTTAGACTTTAGACTTTTAACTCACAAAGGCAACAGGCTTTGATCTTGAACTTTAAACTATCGTGGAATTTAACTTTCAAGTGTATTTAATCTTTGAAGTTTAATTTGTCTTTGGGAATTTTATGAGAAGTTTCATTTTAAAATTTGTGTTCCTCTCTATAATGTTGGTTTTGTTTTGTTATTGCTATTGTCTTCTTACAATTTTTAAATATCTTAATATTACATCTATTCTCATGGCAGATACTCCAATAGCTTTCTTAAATAACATGGCTAGACATAATTTGAAATAAAATATAGAATAGAAAATATTTTAGCTTTGGAATAAATTTAATTAATGGGTCAATCTGATCAATTTCAGTGTCTTATGGTTGCAAAATTTAAATTGCTGTCCAGTGATTCTAGCAAGCAAATTTTGATAATGAGGATGCAGCTCATGAAGGTGGAACAGAAATATCTGCTGTGCCGATGGTAACCTTTTGTAAAGGTGGATAGCCATATCTCAGATTGACCCTAATAATAATGGCTAAACTTAATGTGCTAGGACAAAAAGCTAGGATATATGCCTGTAATCATTAAAGACAAACTCAGTGGTATAAAATCAATATTATCCTAAAATAACATGTAGTGGACCAGGCTAGTAACACCAGTTGTTGAAGATGTGGATCATGTAGAACTCATATACTCCTTGTGGAAGTGAAGAAAAATTGTCAATGCCCACTTAAGTTGAAAATGCATATACCCTAACCTAGGGGTGCATATATACTACCTTTACCCAAGCATCCTTTCTCCCCAAATTGCTATCCAGCCCTATCCACTTTTGCAAGAAGAACAGCCTGGAATGATAAGGTGAATGATGGTGTCAAAATTTGCACATTAGCATGCAAAGCCTCTAATTAAAAGTGTTATAGCAAAAACCAAAAAGCTAAAATTAAGAGCTATTAAATTACAGGTGGCCTTAGGCATTTGTTATGGTGTTCTGGAAAGGCAATATACAGGTACAGAAACCTGAAATTTAAAAGAAAATAAGCCACTCCTTAAGATCTAGACGTAATCACTAATAGTACAGATTTTTCTCTATCTTCCCTTCCTTGACAAGTCCTAATATCCTTTATAAGGATGTTTCTCAGATCAATTCATCGTAATAATTACAGCTGCATAAGGCCCTGAAACAAAGGCTTTGGATGCAGGAAGTTTACTGGGGAATGTTCTTAAGATAAATGCCTTTGGAGGAATGAATAAAATTGAGTTGGGCAGAAGAGTTAAGCTCTGATACAGTCACCACAAAGGACTCAGCTGAGCTCATAGTGAGCTCTAGATTTGGGATGGTCATGCAGAGTTCTAAAATGTGAAAAGGGGGCTCACTATTTATGACCCCACACTGTCCAGTCAGTGGATTGAGACTGCTCCTGGGAAGGGGGCATAACCTTGGGCAAGGTGGCTCACTTCAGATAAGGAAAATACTGGGAGTGGATGTATGTAGATGCTAGAAATCAGCTTTATAGCAGCAGCAGATTAGACAGTCAGTGCTTCAGTCCTGTGGTGTGTGTGTGTGTTGGGGAGGGGAGTGGGGTTTGATTACTGACCACAGCATCCACTAAAATAACTTAGCACTAAAATAACACTTGACACCATTACATTAAAGCTTTACTGGGCTTAGATCACTGAAAAGAAGATTAAAACACAGTTTCTTCTTGAGTTTGACATTTTTCCCCAAGGAGGACTTCTGAAAGGTGTGTTTGGGGAATGAAAAAACCATAGAAGTCTCAAGCCCCCAAATGGTAGGACCATTTTCTGAAAACTAAAGCCATTCTCATTGATATTACATTCTTTAGCATTCTTTAGTCTTTCTTGTCCTCTCTAATATCACTGCTTTGCCATTTTTGATATGCAAATATTCCAACACCATACCCAGCACCTAATCACACTAGCCAACATTTGTTTTTTTTTTTTTTTCTCTATTCTGTGAGGCATTATAGGTTGGCAAAAAGCTGGCTGTATTTTATAAAAGAGAATTGAAGTAATGCAAATAAGAAGGCATGAAGAAAAAAGTAAAAAGCACAATCAGTTTTAGTTTTTGTGAAGTGAAAGAGATTTATACCTTGGGCTGCTGACACAGATGTAGTCTCCTTGCCACAGTTGTTGAGTTCTCATAATGAAGGTTAAGTGAATAATGACATGCTGAACAGAACATGAAATTTAGCAAGCATGTAGTATCTGTTTAATATTTTAATGAATCATGTTTAAAACAATGAAAAGTCTGTCCTATAAAAGAAATGTCAAGAACAGGTCCTGAGTGGAAATTAGAACTAAATTGGTAATTACCACATGAATAAAAGATTGAGCACTTCACTTTCACTATAACATATCTTGAAGATCTAAGAAGAAATGTGTACATTGCTCTTTGCATCTCCAAGGGAGAGATTCTCAGGGGATACCTGATGCTCCGAGCTGGGAATGTCTTCAGAGCTGTTTATGTCAGGGGACTTTTGAATAGTTCATAGTATAGGGAACATATTTTATTGCCAAACTCTTGGATGTAGTAGTGGATAAGTCACACAGAGAAACACTCTTTTCATATCGTCCTGCTGAGATTCATGCTTTATGATAACAGACAGATAATGCTCCTCTAGAATGAGGATGTGATCAATTGCTTTTGTGACTTTATCAGGGAGTCCAGTCACAGTGACAACATTTGGATCTGAGGCCCCTTTTGGAGAGAAACTGATGTCTACTTGGAATTGATTCATGATTTTATCAATGGTTTTTCCATGGCATCCAATAATGTGTCTAAGAACACGATGATTTATTGAGATTTGCTTAGTAACTATTTTTTCAAACTTATGCACCATTTTCATTATTGCATTCCGGGCAGCTAAAGTGTTTTTTTCACATCCAGTGATGATGATTTGGTCTTGTATCTCACTGCTCTCTTTACATGGAAAATGGATACTTACTTTATGTTCTAAGCAAATATGAGTAATTATTAACCCCTTTCGACCAATGATCTTGGGGTAATATTTGGGGTCTACAGTGAACTTTAGTGTAAAATTTCTTGATGCTTGATCTTCTATTTCAGTTTGTAAAGCCTTGACTCGTTCTTGTAATCTAGCCTTAGCTTGTTCCACATTTGCAGCAAGGCCAGTGATGGAAATGACATCCAACTCTAATCCAGGTGCTGGCACTTGTATATTCACTTCAAACTCATCCATTATTTTGTGTATCCCAGTACCTTTCTGGCCAATGATGTAACAGTGAAGGTCAGAGGGCACATTTACTTTAGCAGTGATAGGAATTAAATCTTCAAGAGCTTCTGTGGCTGCTTCACACTTTTCCTTTTGTCCTGCTATAAATATGGTGTCACATTTCCTTCGGGAAATAGAAGCAGACACTTTAGTGCTCTTTTATTCAATTTCTTTCCCATTTTTCTGAACAACAGGCTCTATATTAGTAACTGGGCTCTCCTTTCTGTCTGGGAATTTGATTTGAACATTATAATCAGTGATTTGTTGGATTCCAGAACCCAATGGTCCCATGACAGAATGATGGAACTTCTGGGGAATAACACATGCTGTTGTGACTTGGGAATCTAAGCATAAAATAATTTCCTGAATATGTTTCTTGGCTGCTTCTACACAAGGCTTTGATCCTTTGATTGTGACTCTGTTGCTCTGTTTTCCTGAACATGAGAAATTAATAATCACACCACCATATTCCTCAGTCATGTCCCATAGAACCTGCCCCCTTTGCATAATAAAGTGATGGTGGTACTTTGGATTTACCATTATGTTATCTTCTATCACATTATCTAGGCTTTTAACTAAATCCTCTAGTTTCTTTTGTATGTTTTTGACAGCCTTCTCTGTCCCTGAGATAGTTAGCAGTTCTCGATCCTTTTCCTCAGGAGTAGGGAAACGAACATGCACTCCAGTCTCATCACAGACTTTGGGAACATTGCCACCATTTTTACTCATGAGAAATTGATGATACTGTGATTTGACATGGAGGGCCACAGCATAACTCTTGGTTTGCTTTTCTTCTGCTAGCTGCAGCAGCTTTTTCTTGGCCTTTTCAACACTTTGGGCAGGGCCCTTAATAATGACTCTTTGAAGGCCTGAGTTGTTTCTTGGAAAATGAAGTTGGATCTTCCCACATTCTTTTAAGATTGTGCCAATCAAACAGTCTTTGGAGTCAACAAGGGATTTGTGTAAATCAGAAGAAATATGAATTTCCACTTCTGAAATGTTAGCTATATCTTTCTGAATTGGAAGAATCGATTTATAAGCTATTTCACAATTTTCTGGCTTTCCCCTAATGACAATATTCCCTGAGTTGCTACTTGCTGGTGGAAGATTAATCTTGGTGTTGCTTGTTGAACAGATTCTCTTGATGTTTTCACCTCCTTTTCCGATATTTTTGTGAAGCTTTTTGAAGATGGGAATAGTTATGGAGTAGCTATTTTCTACAATGTCTGTCACCACGTTCTCCAAATACTGTGTGCATTTTTCTAATTCATGTTTTGGCCCTCTAAGTTGGATGATGTCACTTTTTTGTGCTGGGTCTGGAAAATTAATCATAACTTCTGGGAATTTCTTACAGATGTCACGGATGCATTCACCTTTCCACCCAATGATTGCACCATGAATTTTTTGCTCAGTGATTAAGTCCTTGTTTTGATGATTTTCTAAATTAGCAGCAAGTTCAAGAAGTTCTCTCTTGGCCTGCTGGACACCCAGAGATTCTCCCTCAATTCTGATCAAGTTATTTTTTTCACGTTCAGGTAAGATTAACACAGAAACCTTATTCTTTTCTTCAATTCTGTTTATGATGCACCATTCTTCCATATCAGATGCTTGTGAAATTTATAGTCAATACTGATCTCTGCATAATCCATTCTGTTAATTAGATCTTTGACTATGATCTCAATTTGTTTTTGAGCATAATTAGCATCTTCTACTGGTCCTTTTAGGGTAATTTTATCTTCTCCAGTAAACTCTATACAAACTTTTGACATGCTGTGAATTATTTTGGATATAGTCTCACCTTTCTTACAAATAATAAACCTATGAAGCCAGGAAGGTGCAGAGATGGAGGAAACAAGGTAACCTTGGCCTTCCAATAGGCTTCAGTAAATGCCTCTCCTAAACTTTCAGGCTCATCTTGGTATGCCACAGAATCTGATGTGCTCTCTGAGTGTGAGGTCTCTACTGACACTCCAGTTCTTTCCAGGACCTCCTGCACAGAATTGCTCTTGGGACATATGGTATATGTGTGCTGCAATTTCATGTCCACATTTATGGTTGTGGTTTTCTTTTGGGTATTCTCAAAACCCTCTTTTACATAAGCCTCAGCCTGATGTAGTTGCTGCTGTCTTCCTGTGAAAACTATTTCTGTTTTACTGGCACTTGGTGGTGGAATATGGATCTGTGCCTCTCTTTCCTGTATAATGTCAATAGTTTTATTGTATGGCCCAACGATGATGGGATTACATACCTTTTCCACATCTAACCTCTCTACATCACACTTGTCTTGTTTAGCAGATATAAATAAGACTTCCTGTGGGGTTTTCTTCATGACCTCTTTTGTGTCAACATTGCTGTAGTTATCTGGGCATAAAATCTGGGCGTTAGTTGCAACTTTTTGTCCCAAGCCTTTTCGTTTTCCTTCAGTCTCGCCTTTAACAAAATAATGATGTTCTTCAGGAATAGAAACTGTAGTTAAAACTTCTCCCTGAAACCATGCAAAAAGTTTCTCCTGAGCTTTTATGACGGCTTCTGGATTACCAGAGACTGTAATGTAGAGGCCATGATCTTTGACAAAATTAATTATAGGCTGGCACCAGTTCCTTGCATGATGTCTAGACAGAATTTTGCTTGCCTCCCTTCTCCAAACTGTCTCACATAATTTTTCCTCTCTAGAGGCCCATAAAATACTTCAGTGATGACCGAGGTTGTGGTAGGATGAATATTATTGCTTGAGGATCCAGCAGGTTCCTGAGGATTTTCCAACAAATTTGTTTCCTCTAGTTGTTGGGTGAATTTATCTGTGTAAGCTGGAATAACAAGCTCCTGCTCTGAATTAAAAGTGGTAACATAATTTTCCTTCTGAATGTTGAGTTAAATTTTCTTTGGAGCTCATTGTTGATTTTTAAAGAGATACAATCCAGTTGTGTTGCAGGAAAATTATCACCAGACAGAAAATTCCTCTCGTAGCTGCCTTTTTGCATATTACTGTATGGGAAGAATAAACATTTTAAAAATGTAATTCCTTTCCAAATTAATCTGGAAACTAAATGCAGCAAAAAATGAAATTCTAATATTTATATAACTTGACAAAAAAGTTCAAGGTTCATCTATTCTACTCTTATATAAGTACCAAGAAGTGTCAAAGTGGAAAGACTGTGAGGAATCAGCCACCATTTTGGTAAAGGAAAGTTACTCTTTAAGAATTCTTATCACCGCCATAAACAATCCTCATTTACCAAGGCCAGTGTCATCATCATGTTTTGACCCTTAGCAACATCTGGCACTGTTGGCTGCAAATTACTTTTGGAAAAATGTAATTCTCTAGTCTCCAAGGATACTACATTTAACAAGGTTTGGTGTTTCCCTTAACAGCTTTATGGAAGAATAATTTATAAATTCACAAAGTTTGCACGTACAATTCAATGATTTTTAGTAAATTTACAGTGCTGTGCAACCATCACACCAACTCAGTTTTAGAAGACTTCCATCATCCCAAAGAGATCCCTCATGCTCATTTTCAGGCAATCTCCATTTCCACCATCTCACCCAGGCAGAAACAAATTCATTTCTTTCTCTACAGACTTGCTTGATCTGGACATTTCATAAAAATAGTATCATACAGTACACAGAGTCATTTGCATCTTGATTCTTTGCCTTAGAATAATGTTTTTGAGGTTCGTCCATATTATAGCACATGTCAGTAGTATGTTTTTTTGTTTTTTTTTTTTTGCTCAATAATGTTCCATTTCTATTCACCTTTACCTTAATAACAGTTGTGACTTAATCTCTTTTACTGGTTCCACCTCCTGCAGTGGAACTCTATATAATAAAGTATTACTGGATGCTCTTTTTTTTTTTTTTTTTTTCCTTTTTGGCAGCTGGCCAGTAAAAGGATCTGAGCCCTTGACCTTGGTGTTGTAACACTGCCTCTAACCAACTGAGCTAACTGGCTAGCCCTTAAGGCTGCTCTTTTGTACCCATTCTTTCCCTCTACATTCTTTCCCTGTCTGATATAATTTAGACTTACAACTTTGAATATCGTTGATACACTGATGATTCTCAAATCTAAACCTCAGACCTGAGCTGCAATGCGTATATGCATAAGCTTTCTCAATATCACCACTCAAATGTCTAATAGTCCTTTAAAACTTAATTCATCCAATAAATTCTTAACTATATCCCCCTATTTTTTCCTCTTGGAATATTGTGGATCTCACCAAATGGCACTTGACTTTTCTCCTATTGCTTAGGCCAAGTACTTGGTATCATCTTTGATTTCTCACTTTCTCTCACATGTGAAATAAGAGCATTTCTGTTAATTTGGGTATGATCTTTGCTCATCATTTCCAATCTACATTCCTGGTCTAAGCTGCCATGACACTAATGGAACAAGAATTGAAATGCTATATCTGTTCCTACTGTTGGCCATCTATGGCATATTCTCCACAAAGCAGCCAGATGCATTTTGATGAAGCTGAATAAATTACACTCTTTTCCTTAACAGCTTCCAGTGGATTCTCATTGCAATTAGAATAAAATGAACACTATTAACTGAAACTAAATGAAATTCCCAATAGTTGACTATTTTCTCCTAGAGAAAAGACACTTGAGCTAATTCTTTCTTTGGCCCCCTTAGGCCCTTTAGTACCTGATCCTTTTCCACCTCACTGATCTCACATACCACCATTTTTCTCCTAGGCTACTGCTAAGCTGCTCTATCTGTTGCTTGTCCATAGCATGTATTTTTTTCTGTGCAGGCTGTAGTACTTGCTACTCCATCTGTTTGAAAACCAATTTTTCCAGGGAGTTCTGTAGTTTCCTCCTTTCGTTGTTCAAGTCAACTCAAATATCACCCTTCTGAGAAAGAACTTCTTTGTCCGATCTGCCTGAATAAACTCTCCCCTCTATCCCTTTGTTCTTTTCACTATTAACTTATTCTATTTTCTTTAAGTAACACAGTTAAGGTCTGTCTCTATGTTTCCTTACCCCTCTCCCCTACCCCACTCATACACATTGGGATGTAAACTCCTCAATTTCAAAACTTTGGCTTGCTTATTGTCGTATTTGCTTTACCTAGTAAGATGTGTATCGTGCTGCAAGCACCAAGAAAATATGTATTTTATGTCTGTTTGATAACATTAAAAAAGAGAAGCAAAAGATCAGAAGAAAATACTTACAACAAAAGATTATTCTTCTGAATATAAAATGGCACTAAAAATTAGTAATAATCAACATGGGTAGGAAAATGGATGTTAGATGTGAACAAAAGAGAAAACTCAGATTCTCTAATATATTTAAGAAAATGAGAATAAAATATCTAGAATATTATCATCTCCATGATATTAGCAAATATTAAAAAGTTTACTCATACTAAGTGTTGACTAGGACAATTCTTACTCTCAATTACTGTACTTATTTTGTTGTTGACCTGTACCAAACAGTTCATGAAGCTGCACTTGTCAGTGGACCACCCCTTGAGTAGCAATGGACTAGGATGTGGGGGAAGAGCAGTCTGCTAATGCAAGTGTCAATTGGTAAAATTAGTTTATAGAGCAATTTGTCAATGTGTAATAAATTGTGCATGCACTTTATTCCATGGTTAAATGTCCAACAGAAGCACTTGTCTACTTCTATCAGGAAACATTTACCAGGATGCTTGTATCAGAATTATTTACATTAACAAAAAATTTAAGACCACATACATAACTGTGAACAAATGTTTACATATTTGTGGTATATTATTTCATTCAACAGAATAATGAATATGAGATGAAATAAAATATATTAACATGTATCAATATATATAAATACCAACAACCAAAATATCAAGTTAAAAATGTCTTATAATTTCTACAGCATCATATCATCTCTAAAGTCACATTTAAATACTTTGTGATGCTACACATTGTGAATATTTGGTGTGTGTATTTGTGGATATAATAAGAACACTTACACTATAAGTAGAAGAATACATAAAACTAATAGATTTGGAACTAGGGCTGGAACTTAATGATACTACACTTTTAAAATATCAAGTAGTGCTTTATTCAGCCCAAGTGCCTGTATATAACAATACTTAATGGGAATTTTTATACTCAGAACATTATGAAGGAAATATAAATATTGATGAGAAATGACAGGGGCTCATACATTCTTTAATGAGTCACTTACATTTCATTATATATGTTTATAAAAAATGAACTATAACAAATGGACTTACCCAAGGTTGCGAAATGTTACTCATTAAGAATTTTCAAATCTAAACTATAAATTTTCTTGATATAGGGCTTTTGAGACTCTGCATAAAAGGAGACAAACTGGAGACACATATCAGGAAAGCCAGACTAACACAGAAATTTTTCTTATAACTGAAAATTCTTAGTAACATTTTATAATCCTGGGTAAGGCTATCTGTTATAATTCAGTTTTGAACTCTCTAGAAGAATGTCCAGTCATCAAAAGAAATTAGCATCCTCTCTTTGTCCCTGAGATAAACCTAAATGGTCATTTCTTCCCATGAAGTTCTGTGTGGAGGGATATTTTACAGGCTATCAGACTTTGAGCACGCTATTTATCCATTTTTTAAAAATGGAGTTAATATTACCTTTATCATAGGTTTCTTTCTAGGATGATTTAGGTTATATTTGTAGAACATATGCAACAGTTTCTTGCCCATAGCACTCAGTAAATACTGGCACAAATCCAAAGACATAACGGTAAACTGTGAATATTTGTTAATTTTATCAGCACCAAACTCTACCGAGTGAGTCAGGGCCAGCCCCTAATATTTGTTAATTTTAGATCATGGGTATACACTGACATTCCTCTAATACAAGAGTACTTTAAAAAGTTCATGGAAAGATTCATATTATCTTTTAATTCTATCTTTTCATGAACTTTTGAAAGTACCCTTGCTTTTTTATAAATTTTTATGCTTAAAGTATTTTGTTTATAAAAATCTAGAAGTAAGTGAAAAAAAAAAAGGCAACGGATAAAAATGACAGAGAAAAAAGTATATAATCTTGGAAATTATTTGTTTTACATTTGACAGATAAAGGGTTAACAATATTACCGTAAAAATAGCTTCTATTGGAAAATAAACTGAATATGGTCAAGATTGTGTCCTGGAGGAAAGCTAATAGAAAAAGGAAGACATTTGTGGAATAAGCTGAGGTGAAAGAGGAGGGATGGGAGAGGAGTACTGGAAAAAGTATGTGGCTAAGTTGGCGACGGGTCAGGAGCGGGGGCGCCAGGAGAGATGGCATGAGCCTGAGAGGTGTGCGCTGTGCTGCCAGAGTGCTACTTGCATTTACAAGAGCAACAAAAAATGAATAAGTCTTTGATCAACTAATCTCCAACTATAAAAAAAGCAACTACAGACTCGAGGTTTAGGGCCGGCATAAAAGAGGATTCCTGGGAGCCCCCAAGACGCACTGCGGGACCGAGTGAGCAGCCCAAGGCAGCAGTGGCTGAGGAATGAGACTGCGACAACATGGAAATGGAGAGGGAGCTGCTCAGCAGGTTCAGCTCTGTGAGTGACCCCCAGTCCGGCCCTGATTGCAGAGAAGACGCCTGTCCAGTTTCCACCTACCCCACTGGGCCAGTCACTGGCCCAGGGCTCCCTCCATTTACTCAGGTGCAGGTGGAGCAGACCGACTCGGCCAGGTCTCCTCACTGAGCCTTCCCACTTCCTTGCCCCGGCATGGGGCCTCCTGGGGTCTGCCGGCCGGCCTCCCTTCCCATACCCACCGTGGTTCTCTGGCGGGGCTAGTGGCAGGGGGAGAACTGGCCAGCCTCCGGAGATCAGGGAAGAGCGGGCCAGGCAGAT